TGCACTTCCTCACAACTGGGTGTGTTTGTTAGACCACTTCCTGAGGGATGGCTACACTGCTAAATATTATTGGCTGTAGAGCATGTCCGATTTTGATGACGGAAAATGCTACAGGTATCTTTAGTGAGGATAAGTCTGTTTCTTTAAAGCAACATTAAAGCACTTTTATTTGTTTATCCAGCACCTACTTTGCAAATAACAATGTCCACAGATAGGGTAGCGTATGTTGCATGATTTTATGAAAGTATGATGTATTGCGACATTGAAGCAAATAATCAAATTAGTAGTTTCTTACGTCTGATGAGTGCCACTTGTCATGATGGATCAAAGGAGCAAGCCCATATGCAGAACACACACGGAGGAGGCAGGGAAAAAGTTCAAATGTTTATTAAAAGTTCTGAACATGAGATCATAAACAAGTTCTGAGACTGGTTCACTGAAGTCTTGACTGGGACCGGAGACTGTTGGTTAGCAGAGTTCATGAGAAGCTAAGCGTCTAGCTTCAGGCTTAGCATGGCAGACCTTGATCTGAGCTTCCAGCTCACTGCAGAGAACAACAGGGAATATCCACATAGGATTCTTCAGGCTGAACTTCCAGCTCATTGCAGAGAACAACAGGGAATATCCACATAGGATTCTTCAGGCTGAGCTTCCAGCTCATTGCAGAGAACAACAGGGAATATCCACATAGAATTCTTCAGGCTGAGCTTCCAGCTCATTGCAGAGAACAACAGGGAATATCCACATAGGATTCTTCAGGCTGAGCTTCCAGCTCATTGCAGAGAACAACAGGGAATATCCACATAGGATTCTTCAGGCTGATTCCACATATGAATCTTCAGGTAAACTCCAGATAGAAGTCTTCAGGTTAAATCCACATAGGAATCTTCAGGTTGGCTCACCAGGGCAGATTAGCAGGTTAGGCTCACCTAGAGCTTCAGGCTAGAGACTGGTTTCCTGTGAGGCAGCTCTCCCAGAGCTTCAGGCCAGAGACAGGTTTCCAGTGAGGCTGCTCATCCAGAGCTTCAGACTAGCGACAGGTTTCCAAACTAAGATCAACACTGCGGCGTGGAAGCAAGGTCTGGCAGGAGCTTATAAAGGGGAGGTCTCCTAATGAGTAGATGAATAACAGGTGTGCTGGAAGATTCCAGCTCCAGAAGACCAACGGCGCACTCTGCTGGAGACAGAGGGTAATCTCCAGATCCCAACAGTAACTCCAGCCCTAAGAGAAAATAACAAGAGACAGAAGAGGATCCTTGGCGCCCTCTGGTGGGCAAGCCTGAGGATCCCAACACCACTAAGATATTCTCATTAGACAGCAGTAGCCAAACTTAGATATTGTATTTTCATGGCCTAATTTACCAGACAGGATGTTTACATATATCTGTTTTAAGGCTTATTTGCACAGATAAGATTTTTTAGGTATGGAGGAACAGCTCTCCCATATATAAAAATAAATACATAAATAAATACATGCTCAATAAATAGATAAGCATTCAATTAATTACCCCCCAAAATACAATGAATAAATATGTCGGTAGAAATTAAATGTTACAGTGAGACATAAATGAATATATATCTCTTAATTAGCTTCTTTATATTTTCACCTTTTTTGTAAACAGTTTCATTTGTTACTTGAATCGACTGTTTAATTGAGGTCTGAAGAAGTTTTCTCTAAGGGAGACCCTAAAGAAATAAGATGCCTTTTGTAGGGTTTTGTTTTCCCTAGAGATGTCCATTGAATGCAAACTCATAGCCATGTCTCGATGTGTAGAACACTACACAGTACCTTTAATTTGGTTCTAATAACAGCAGATTGTTTATTTTTTTTGTCTACTAGTAAATACTTTAGTTATTTTTATTATGCTGATCATAAAACAATTTTTACACTGTGTTATATCATTGGCTGATCTTTAATAAATGTTTAACCAGTGTGTCAGACTCATTTTGAATTGATATTAGGTTGGTACAATGTTAAGTAGCTTCTGATGTAGTTAAGCTACTGTTAACACATTAGTGTAACTTAGCTTGCTATAATTCTTTAGGTGGTAGCTTTTGTGTAGTGAAGCTTAATTTATTGTTGAGTAACTGATAGCTTAGCTCACTACACTGGACAAGTAGCTTGCCCAACACTGCCTATCAGAATCAGACATTGACAGTGATCATGCTAAGCTAGGCTATTGTCGGCAAGTCTGGATACAACTTGGCTTCCTATCATAGGCTCAACTTATGAAATATTGCTTCGGCATCTGGATGGCTAGTAGGCTTAACACCAGAATCAGTTGATAAAAGATATTTGGTAGTGCTAAAACCATACGGTTTGTCTGTCCTGTTTTCCACTAAAGTAGCGCAAAAGGCTAGCTGGCTCACAGCTGAGACAACGAACTTTAGTTAACTCGCAAAATCATCTCCCGCAAAAGGTCTCTCTCTCATAGCTTACGCTTTAGCTAAGGTCTGCCCGCTGGAAGACGATAAACAAATAAATAAACAAAGTAGCCTACAAGCACGTTCTTACCTTTTGTGCAGAGTCAGAGGCTACGGTTTGCAGCCTGATGTTGTTGATGATCTCCTAAATGTTGTTGCCTGCCTACATCCAGGTGCACAGCAGTCCTTGCAAACAACTAGTCGTACAATGTCAAATTGTAACAGATTACATTCACCACAATCGATCATCCACCATTCATTTGGGATATCCGATTTTTTGTATTTTTTTTTATATTGGTTTGTGTTAGGTTAATTGCCATGTTGATATGAACCTATCCAATGAACTGGCACGTCATTAATACGTCAGACGTAAATTCGATCCACTCTTGAAAGGAATGAGTTTGGGGGTCAGTTCTACTCATATACTAAGAGTTAATCTTGTCAAAATAATAACTGGGTAACCAGTTGAGTGAACTTAAAACATTTGTGGTGCCTGAACAATATGGCAGCTTTGAGTACAGCTCTGCAATTGTATTGAGTTTATAGCACTGTTGGGGAATACAGTGTGATATAAGAAAACCTTTTATTAAGAGAGCTGTGATCAGAAAATAAAATCTTCTTCACTTGTATTTAACTAGAACAATATTGCAGGTCTTCATCCAAACAGAATGTAGAGATCCTTGGAAGGTGGAACAGAAACAGCCTTTTCTAACCTTCCGTTTGGTCTGGTCACACACTTACAGAAATATTCAAACAAACAGCTGGGAGGAGTTAAATGATACTTTACCAAAACACTTTCCAGACGGTTTGGAACAAAGAGAGGGTTGTTGAATAACCTTGAATCTAAAGGAATTTGACATCTAATACTGATAAACAGCTTCTCATGTGTCAGTAAGATAAGCTTTAGCGGGTATGCAGCCTGAGTGAACATTTCTGGGCAATATAGAAAAGAAAAAGAGCTCACTTTTAGGTTCTTAAATGGAGGAAGAAGAGAAATAAATGGGAAAATAATTTCCCCCACAACAAGGTCAAAAGACAACGTGACAAAAAGGAGCAGGATGATGATAAGCGCCTTTTTAGGTGCTCATTTATTCACTTAGATGGATTGTCAGTAGCTAAAGGCTTCAGCTTCACCTCTAAATCCAGGATTCCTCACTCTGTGCTTTATTATCCTCCACAGTGCAGCTGCAGCATTGAACTGGTTTGTTTCACAGTGTTTCTGTCATGGTCCTGGCACTGGTGGCTTGATTGCTTATTCCACCCACCTGTTTAGCTCTGCCTGTTCTCATCATTTCTTATCCCTTCCACCTGGTTCCAGCCCCTATATACGGTTTGGTTTCAAGCTTCCAGTGCCAGATTATTCTAGCTGTTCTAGTGAGAGTAACTCTAGCGTTGGAACTACTTTTCTGATTATTCTGTTTGGTGACCTGTTTCTGTCTTGTGGATCCCGAGTTTTGCTTCGCCCCTGTCTGCTCATCTAGTCTGATCGGCTCTGGACTTTGTATTGGATGCTACTGGCTTACCGAACCTGGACTGTTTTCCTGACCACGGCTTGGACTCCCTCATCGGTACCTCATCGGCTCTCAGATCTCCTGGTAAACGAACTTGGTTCTGTTTCGACTTTGGCTTGGATCTCCCTTTCTGGCAACACCTGCTCCTCTGCGCCATTTGGCTTCAGCGCCGCTCTCCTCACTGCGCTTCGGGGGCCGCTCCCGCCTGCGGCGGAGGACCTTTCCCCTTCACGGATTCCTCCTCTCCTTCTGTGATCGGACTGAACTTTGAACCAGGTCAGTGACTTTAGCTCTTAACTGCCACCAGCCATCCATTCTCAGTCACTGACCTGAGTTTCTGTTTCCACAGAGGATCCGTGAAGTCCGCCCCTGCTGACGCGCCGTTTTCACGCTGCTTACTAAATAAAGTCTGTTAAACTCTTCCAGCTCTGTCTGTCTGAATATTGGATCCAAGGTTTAGAGCCCATGACATTTTCTAACTGTGGAATGAGGAACCTGTAAAGTCTTTTAAGTTAATTTATTCCCAGCTTTGACCCGCCTACGAAATCTTTGCTGATTTTTTACCAAACATAAAAAATGCAATCAATTGTTTTTTTGATTTTTTTTTTATATCGTTCCTCCAGGGAATCACAGCTCCAGGCTAGGAATCACATTACATCCACACATCCTTTCCACAAAGGGTAATTTTTGTCTCAGTTTTAAGCGTTTAATATGGCGTTACATTTATGTCATAACCAACGCGAGCAAAATAAACATACTCGCATGTATGTTAGACTACTTCTGCGCATGGTTTATCTACCGCCGTGCGAGAAACTGCTGCTTCAACAGGAGAAAATCTCTCTCCGCGGAGACAACTGTAAGCCTCCTCCTGATTGGGCCTTGCAGACACAATCTCACAGGAAGTAGTGTCAGGAAGCATTTGACTGACAGCTCGTCAGTTAAGACGACGGCTCGAGGTGGGACAGTGACGCAGCGCTTGCCCAATCAGGAGGAGGCTTACAGTTGTCTCCGCCCAACCTGTCAAAATCACTTTTCCTCCGCGCGAGGAGAAAATCTGTAAACTGTATTTACTGGAAGATCTGAATACAGCGACAGAATATGTCTCGACCATAGGAGTCAGAAGGGGCTGTGGGATCCACAATGGCTTGAAGCTCTATCATTTCATGGTCATTTAGAGGAGAGGGGAATTCCGGAACAACCAGTCCGGTTTGCTGATCAGTCTCAACATGGTGTAAAGCACTCTCCCAATCTACACTATATTGCCAAAAGTATTTGCTCACCTGCCTTGACTCACATATGAGCTTAAGTGACATCCCGTTCCTAATCCATAGGGTTCAATATGACGTCGGTCCACCCTTTGCAGCTAGAACAGCTTCAACTCTTCTGGGAAGGCTGTCCACAAGGTTTAGGAGTGTGTTTATGGGAATTTTTGACCATTCTTCCAGAAGCGCATTTGTGAGGTCGCACACTGATGTTGGACGAGAAGGCCTGGCTCTCAGTCTCCGCTCTAATTCATCCCAAAGGTGTTCTATCGGGTTGAGGTCAGGACTCTGTGCAGGCCAGTCAAGTTCATCCACACCAGACTCTGTCATCCATGTCTTTATGGACCTTGCTTTGTGCACTGGTGCACAGTCATGTTGGAAGAGGAAGGGGCCAGCTCCAAACTGTTCCCACAAAGTTGGGAGCATGGAATTGTCCAAAATGTCTTGGTATGCTGAAGCATTCAGAGTTCCTTTCACTGGAACTAAGGGGCCAAGCCCAGCTCCTGAAAAACAACCCCACACCATAATCCCCCCTCCACCAAACTTTACACTTGGCACAATGCAGTCAGACAAGTACCGTTCTCCTGGCAACCGCCAAACCCAGACCCGTCCATCAGATTGCCAGATGGAGAAGCGCGATTCGTCACTCCAGAGAACGCGTCTCCACTGCTCTAGAGTCCAGTGGCGGCGTGCTTTACACCACCGCATCCGACGCTTTGCATTGCACTTGGTGATGTATGGCTTGGATGCAGCTGCTCGACCATGGAAACCCATTCCATGAAGCTCTCTGCGCACTGTTCTTGAGCTAATCTGAAGGCCACATGAAGTTTGGAGGTCTGTAGTGATTGACTCTGCAGAAAGTTGGCGACCTCTTCGCACTATGCGCGTCAGCATCCGCTGACCCCGCTCCGTCAGTTTACGTGGCCTACCACTTCGTGGCTGAGTTGCTGTCGTTCCCAAACACTTCCATTTTCTTATAATACAGCTGACAGTTGACTGTGGAGTATTTAGGAGCGAGGAAATTTCACGACTGGATTTGTTGCACAGGTGGCATCCTATCACAGTTCCACGCTGGAATTCACTGAGCTCCTGAGAGCGACCCATTCTTTCACAAATGTTTGTAAAAACAGTCTGCATGCCTAGGTGCTTGAATTTATACACCTGTGGCCATGGAAGTGATTGGAACACCTGATTCCAATAATTTGGATGGGTGAGCAAATACTTTTGGCAATATAGTGTATGTTGAGGTCTGGATGTTCCTACATTAAAACAACAGATTTTTACAATTTGTAAGAAATCTTGTGTAAAAACTGAGTACCATTTCTGGACTTACATTTACATCCCCATTTGTTCTGTTGTGCAGCAGTCCTAAGTCCCACAACTGCTGGGGTGTCATGTTACCCTCTGTGCGTAGAGGGTGATTGTTCCAACCCTCGGTAAAAGTTTGGAGGTCTCTGTCAAGCCGGGGAAGGAAAACGAAGTGCACCAGGAAGATGTGCAATGTATTTGAGATGTCTAGTAGCCCATCCTCTTCCAGACTGTGCAGGACCTCATAATAGTTTTTTGTTACAGCCATCCATACATCTCGCCACAATCTCTCAATCCTGTGAAGGAGATAAGAGATAAATGATCAATCATATTAGATGTAAATAATTGTTTGGAAATTGTTATACAAATACTTTTCGAGTGGAGCTTTTTTTTCATCACACAGCAATATCCTTTTAGAGGCTAAACAGTATATGCCACTTTAGTAATTAAATTTTACATGATGCCACTATAGGCATTGCTACAACAAAATGTATCTTAAGTTTTGGTCATTTATGCGTGTTTATGTTCCGTATTAGTGTTTCTAAGGCTGAAGGCTGCCTGGATTTAGCATAGCAGTCCTGAGTTCCTCTCTTACCTATGATAGTGTTCCAACCTTTGACCCTATGAAAGGGATAGAAGCTTCATGCTCTCTTGATAAATCTGTCTGTCAACAACACATCTGGGCCCCACTGCTCTTAGGATTGCTCTCCATTGTCATCGGCCTTACAAACACACTAGATCCTATACCTCCTTTTTATGTCATCTACAACTTCAGCCTTCCTGTCCCAGAGAACAGGCCTGGATCAAGTGATCAACTAAACTTTGTTCTTAATAAACATTAAAAACATTTCCCTGGTCTCCCAATAATGTTTTTGCATGTGGGTAAAAGCCATAAACTCACCATGATGAGTGCACATCTAATTTTTATCCATAGTTAAAGTACTCTGATTACTGCATCTGTTCTTTAGAAAACATTTCAGTATATTAATTTTTGTACATGAACGTTTACCTCTGATTGTGGACACTCCTACCAGAGATGAAACTTCCTCTATCAGTTCCTTGCACAGTAAACATGAGCTGTGCAATATCTAGGTTCTCCACACCTTGATCACCTCTGACCCTAATAAATTGTAGAATAATTACGTATTTAATAATATTGCTATTACAATGCCAAATTACAGGGACTTGTTAAGTAAAGCTTCAATTTTAATCTACTACCTGGACGGCAAACCATTTTTCTCACGTGAAGACAGAAGAAACTTGAAGGCTGTCGAGGCCTTGTTGTTGTTGGCAGCTTCTAGATACATAACCTATAAAAAAGTAAAATAATTTCCAATTCAATGATTTGTAGCATTGAAACTGAAAATTTAGGATAATGAGAGTGCTTTTTGTTTTTCAGTTAAATGTACATTACCTTTCTGGAAAAGCCATCAATGCCCCCAAAGATGACTATGTTGAATCTATAAAGGAAAAGATAAAATCTTAAATAAAATGTTCTTTAAAAAATGAAATGCAGGATTTAACGATAAGCAACAAGTAAGCTGTATATTGAAATACATAACAATACTTCCATGATTAAATTCAATAATTTGTAAAGGTTTAACTGAAGGCAGTTTTTTTTTTTGTTTTAACTAATATCCAAAAGTTATGTTGGTAATTGTAACCAACCTAAATCGATGAAAATGTTTGTTTAATATATGGCCCTGGAGTAAAGAAATGTGAAAAGGGTTTCCAAAGCGCTGTACATTAAATCACTTACCTTATGAGTTTGTGGTTTGTGTCCACATGAACAAGGGAAAGTGGTGCTCTTACTAACTTCTTCTCACAACACATCCTAACTGCATTAGTCGAGAAAGAGCCCCTATGCCATCCACTCGATGCATAGATGCTTTTACCCTGCTCCATTGTATCCGGTGACCTAAAGACCGAAGTCTTCCCATTACAAGCCTGTAGCCAACATGAGGCATCTGAGCTTTGATGCTCCTCACTAGATTATCGAGCTCCTCATCTGGCATTGAGGTGTAGGAGCTCCTCACAGACATTTCAAACTCCATCAAGCGTCGGAAAATAGTACGTTCGCTCACTCCTAGTAACTGTGCAATACATGGGATTGGCAAGTGCATCTCCATCAGGTCTTGCAGCTTTTCCTGCTGAATGCAGAATTTAGGTCGTGCTTTCGCACCATGCACTACCTCCACTTCACAACATAGAGGTTCTACAGTCTCCTCTTGAAGTCTAAGTAAACTGCACAGTTGCCTTATGCCACTTAGAATCGACACTGGAATAGCAACATGCTCTGCCACTGCTTCAACTAAAATTAGTTCATGAGTGCACATGAAATGAAGATAATCCATATTCGTGTCAGGGTGGCTAAGCACATGTTGCATTTTGCTCAGCAACCTCTCCAGAATTTGACGTCTCAGCAGAGTCTGTAAGAATGATAGAAAGTAACATAATTATACTGAAGTATAATTTTGGAGAAGTAAAAACAAGTATTGATTTCAAAATGTAGGGGGAAAAAAATACATTTCTTACAAAAAGTTAAAATGTTGGATAGTTACTTCCAATTATTATTATGGTGTTATGTGTTCAGTCAGCTTTTTTATTGACGTGAACACCCAGGTATTTGAAACTCTCCACAGTTTCTATTTCCTACCCCGGAATGTTCACACAGGGGTCGTCTCCTGAAGTCGATCACCATTGTTTTTCTCAAAACAGTCCATAAAGTCCATGATGACTGACCGGTACTCCAGCTCATACACACAGCCCACAAGGTGAAGGTGTAGAGGGTGAAGAGAAATGGAGACAGGACGGTGGCCTGGAGGCCCCAGTGCTGCAGACTGCCATCTCTGACTGATAGCCTTGCAGCCACACGGCTGTCAGTCAGAGAAAATCCTGACTTTGATTTTCTTATAGAAGTCAGGAGAAAAAGATTTCTCTTTCAGGGTCAAGTCATCCACGCCTCCGAAAATTAACGATCTCACTCTTAACTACATTTACAATTTGAGGTCTGATTAAACATAATAAAATTTAAATAAATACCAATTTTAATATCATAATACAGTACTTATTATTTATTAACCTGCTAATATAGCCAACAAACCGCATAGTTAGTCCAATGAAAAGCTCCTTTGAGGTGAAAACAGCGGTGGCTTTTAGAAGACATAAGTCTCCTTTCCTTGTAATGTCCTACTTGAGCTGCGATTGGACTCCTCTTTCGGACCAATTGTCCACTCATCCAACATTTTAAAACATCCATAACTCATTGACTGGTTAAAACGTAAAGATTTGCCATTATACTAACAAAGTATTTCAAGATAATAATTTAATATGTTGGTTCTTTGCTTTTGTACATAACAAAACAATAATTGTTTAAAATTACTTACTTCAGAATTGTTTGGGTTATCCATATGTACTGAACTTTGCTGAATCGAGCAACAAACAAAACTACTGTAAATAGCAGTTTCAGCTGACGCTCTTATAAGTGGTGTAGTAGCACAGGCACACTCAGTAGGGTTAAACAAGCGCACCCTTTCCGAAGCTGTCGTTGTATTGGCTGAAAAGGTTGCTAGGCGACATTCCAACTGCAATCCGAGAGAGAGCAGAAAAAATCCGCAAGCAGAGCCTACGGGTTTGCGAGCGTATCTGAGACCCGAGCAGAATGCGGTTTGTGTGCGAAGAGAAGGAGGCAAGCGAGAGGAGAAAATATCTGTGCAAGAGGCATTAAATCTGAGAGAAGAAAGAAAGATTTGAGAGAGAAGAGAAAATATTTGAAAGAGAGCGCATGTTTTGAGTGTGAGCATTATAAGTTTTGAGTGCAAGAAGATGAAATTCTTTTCTCAAATTGAAATTATGTGCTCTTGCATTATGGCAGGATAATTCTTCCATACTAAGCACCCTTTTAAGCTGTGCTAAAGGGTAACCACTTATCTTCACAAATATACTGTTTATTTTCGACTGACACTGTCCCTATGTCAACTTAATTACCCAGGCAATAATTTGCAGTGGTGCTGAACTTGAGCACATTACAGTGAAAGTTGTGATGAACTAATTTACATGTATACAAAATTATTTTTCTAATTTTCTGCTTCCGAAATATGATGCTTACTTACTTTGAAATGACGTAGTAGATCCTGGGCTGTTCCATGTCCCATGAACTGCGATCCCAAATACCGTGACTGGACGTGAACTCCAGACCAATACCGGACATGCAGATCCAACTGTTTGGTTTTGGTGGTCTGGTTTAGGCTTTCATCAAACATTAAGACGAACGTCTCTTTGTTAGCATCCACAACGAGCTGCTCTGAAATGTACGGCGCTAATCCAAACTTGGCGATGTAGGCCGTCTTGTCGGAACAACAATGAAATGAGTGGGCAATTTCATAGTCTGGGAACATTGCACTGAACATGTCTCCAACTCCCTCATTTGACTTATATGATTGGTGTTTTGTTACCGTGTTCAAAGTCCACAGTATCTCTGCTTTAATTGTCGGCGTACCGCCGAACATCATCCGGGTATTCGGTGCTTCTACCGCTGTTGTTGATGCTGGTGATGACCATGGAGGCGTTGCAGAGACTAGGGTGGAACAAAACTGAGCTATAACGGCTGTTTCTCGGTGACTCGATTTTGTGGCTTTGTGTTTCTCACTTCGCATGTGCGACTCCACTGCCTTAAGTCCCATCGTTCCGAGCTTGAAAGACTTTTTGCACAATATACATCGTGCCTCATATATGTTCCCTGGAACTGGTTTTAGCCACGGAGAAAATTCTTGGCTAGATAGCCAATTTTCGTTAAATTTACACTTGCCCATGTTTTGTAGAGGAAAAATGAATGGCGCATCTCCCAAAGGTCCCGGCCGCAACAACGCATTTATTGGTTCCGCTATCGGGACGGAACCAATAATGGGGAGCCGTTCTGTAAACTAAAAATAATGATAATTGTCTATTTTAATGTTTTTTTTTAAATACAAAAATAAATGGTAATAAAAATAATCCTATTTATGATGTGGTAAAAAATTAAGACCCACAAAAGTCTGATTTAAGACATTTTAATACCATTTAAGGCCTTAATTTTATTTTGAAGAATTCAATGCTTTTTAAGACTTTTTAAGGACCCGCGGGAACCCTGTGTTCCAAACATTACTTCTTCTTCTTTCTTAGGGAGCTTACATCAGGTATGTTGTCCATTTCCGTGTAATCTCCGCGCAGTTTTGGTAAAGTTAACGTTGATGGGCTGGTTTGTCTGAATAGTAGCTCTGGATGATCAGTCCTTTTTTTTTGGCTAGATTGCCAGCTGAGCTTCTACAGAAGGTAAACAAATGACTGCTGGACGTTTTTTGGTCAATAACTGTCTCTTTCAAGTTATAACTTAGCAGTTCCTCCCATGTATCGTCCTTACAGAAGAATGAAGAATCAACTTACTAACCTGCTTCCAGATGCTTAGTGTTCATCTGAATCTAGTTTTCTTATATTTCCAACTGTGTTTTAAGGAGTTCTCACTGTTGACAAGCAAATATAGTCAAAATTCCTACTTTGACTAATGCCATTCATGTAATCGAGCCTTAAAAGGCAGACAGATTTACCTGATGCTGTCGCCCACAAGATATTCCATCGTGATAAACGGATGCTGAAGAATTTGACTAGGTGAAATTCTCTCAGCTGGATCCACCATTAGCATGTCTATTAGCAGCTCTGTGAAACTAGCCAGCTCTCTTTCATCCTCATTTTCTTCAGGTGGTTTTGTACACACCTAATGTGAGATCAGAAAGAAACCGTGAGAAAAAAAATCACCCTCTTTAGGGCAAAGAATTAAGACAAACATATTGTCCGCAAAAGGCCTACCTTTTTGAAGAAATCGAGGTTCTTACGTGGAGCAGAGTTTAAGTTTTCTGTTTTAATGGCCTCCTGTAAAAGCAATGAGAAAATATGTTCGAAATGCTGTGGACACAATAAAGTACAGTTACAGAACCATGATCGATAAAGTCAAGGAGAGATTAACTTGAATATCCACTGACTACCATGTTCTCCTCCATCAGTCCTGGTAAAGAGGTTTTCTGTACGCCGCCCTGAGTTTACCAGGTTGTCTGGTGGATTCCCAAAGGCGGAAACAATGTGTTTTATCTAAGAGTACAACAAAGACATGGTTCACAAAACGAACATACTAATTTTCAAGGGTAAACCCTTCACAACTGATAAAAAGTACAGTAATGTTAGTTTACTTATGCATTATAGACATATTTTATTTTTCAGGATCCCCTTCAAGGCGTAATACTAACCATATCCTTTTCATTTATGCCAGGAAACACGC